AGTAAAATTTCCTCTCCAACGCTTCCTACCTGTGTGACCAGGGGCTCGTCCCTTAACGTCCCTGAGCCTATTTCTTAATATACAAAATGAGGGAAATGATACTTATCAAGCCTACCTCGCAAGGTGGTTGCTAAGGAAATTGCATGTATAAAGTGCTTTGCAAACCTAAGTGGGTGATGCTAATTTCAGCTATTATTAGCAATCTCCCCTGTTTGTGGATACCATATTACATTAAACCTTGGGATACTGCAAAGCTTCCTCATTAATATTTGTAGCTTAAGAGAAAATGATCTAGCAATCAACACAGCAAAAACCAAGTAGATGAAGCCTGCACATTGCCCTGATTATAAGATGTAATTGGATAGACAGTCCCTTAGGTTAGTCCATCAGTGTCTCTATCAGGGGCAAGAACTGCAGATGGTCAATGAACTGGGCTCAGAATTGAATTAAGAGGAAGAGAGGGAGCTGGATTGCACTGGGGATATTGTACAGTGCTTTCAATGAAATCAAACTGCTTCCTGCTGCCAAAGCACATCCCTTTAATGTCAGTAGTCTTCTGATGATGTTATATGTTATTATAACAGTAATAACAACTAATAGGCCCAGTGGGCCTTGGTTACTTGCCCTCCTCCTTTACACCAATGGGCTCTCTAAGCTCTGGATTCACAAATGTACACAAAGTTTAATTGGTGGGGTGGTGGTAAGGAAGGAGACTGGTCCAAAAGAGAGAGGTTATGCCCTCTTTTCTCACACTTTAGCTTCCTTACACCACCATCCTAGAACCCTAGGGAAAAATCACCTAGAACTTACCTTTGACTTATGTCTAGGACCTCCTCAAAAGGGAGGAGTAGAAAGGTACTCAAATCAAGAACAAGACAGCTATTTTTTCCTTCACACAAAAGAAAGCTTAATATAAGAAACCCACAAGTATGCATTAATGAAGACAAAATAGCATATAGTAAACTTAGTGGTACTATGAAATTCTCCCAGGAGGTTTGGACTTGAAATGATAAAAATATAAATCAGTTTGCAGGACTGTCAAATTGGCACTTCACATTTTACCTCCGTTCCGCACTCTTTCCCTCAAGGTCCATGGCTTCTGGTGAGCCAAGCTGGGGGTTGAGCTTATCTTTCTCTTGGTGGTCATCTTCCCCAAGAAGCACAGAATAATTGTCGGGGACTCACCATCCAAAGGACAGTGGAGAGGTGCATGGTGGGTGTAAGTAGGCTTCAGGATGATAATTTGAAAACAAGAAGAGTCTTCAGTACCTAACACAACGTCGGGCTAACGAATACTTGTTGATTGGCATAGAGGTACTTAATAAAACATATTGCCTATACATAAACCATCACTTGGAGAAGGAAACTGGAAACCACTCCAGCATCTTTGCCAAGAAAACCCCAGATGGAGCCATGAAGAGTTGGACAGGACTGAAACCATTGAGCCAAGCCATTACTACTCTATATGAAACAATGAATATGGAGAAGACAGAAAAGCAGAGGAAGACTAAATGACTAAACTATTCTGAGTATTATAAATACTCAAATCAACTACAAAGGACCTATAAAGGACAATGCTGTCCACCTTCAGAGAAAGAACGGATAAATAGAAGTATGTATAGTATGTTTTTACATGTACCTACATATCTATGTCAAATGATGGGCTTTTATAGTGTGGGGAGGAAAAGGAGGGGAAAAAATAAAAATAAAAAGCACGCAGCAGAGAACAAAAGAAAACTCGGAAAAACAGGGTGGTTATGAAAATGATGTGTATTTACATAGTTTTTGAAAAAAAAGTTAAACAGCATGAAATGGAGATGTATGATATTTAAATTCAAAATGAATTAAAAAATAAAAAAAAAACAACAAAGAAAAGAAGAGAAAATAAACTTCCTTCCTTTCTTGTAGAGGTGAAACACAAGGGGTATGGAATAATGCAGTCAGAGTCAATATGTTGGTTATATTTCCTGACTGCCTCACCCTTTTTTTCTCCTTTTCCCTCTTTTTTTCTATTCTTTTTTTTTTTAAATTTAATAAGAGATATCTGTCTGGAGGAGGGAGAGAAGGACATGTTTGGAAAGTAAGATGTTATAAAAACAAAAGATAACAAGTGTTCTTTAAAAGCCTGTTGACTGAGGCCCTGAAGTGACACTAAAGACGTTATCAAGGATGTGAACTACAGGTAAAGGAACTGGGGAGTCTTATAGGGAGATGTAGAGATAGCCTAATCACTATCCGTAAAATAAGCAACCTTAGCCTCTCTTTTTTTTTTTAATTCCATGGACCTGTTTTTGAAAACCTATGCACTCTGTCTCAGAATAATGTTTTTAAATGCGTAAAATAAAGTATACATGATTACAAAGGAAACAATTATATTGACATACATACATCATTTTATTTTATATATATATATATATATATATATACATGATAATACTTCATAGACTCTAGATTAAGAACTTCTGACTAGAGAATCTCACAAGCATACATTAACAAAGACTTAAAATAGCAAAGAGTAAATAAATGGGAAATAGCTATTCAGTACATGATTTGCACTGTACCTTTCTGCTCCCCCCTTTTGGGAAGGCTGTGTTGTTGTCTGTCCTTTGTTTTTTTCAAAGAGGACCATTGGCATGGCAGGGTGATGTCTTGACTAGCCTGTAAATTGTATTTAAGTGAGGCGGAGTTACACAAAGACAAAATCCTCATTCTCTCTTCCACAGTCACTGAAATCTGGTGGCAAGACAGAATGATGGCCTGGGATGCAGTGGATGACCTTGGCATCTTTGAGGTCTGACCAAGCTCTAAGTGTTCCACAGCTCCTGCTTCAGTTGCTTTCCTGGCTATTGGAACACATTGTTCTCATCCACCCCACCCACCAGGGGATGTCTTTACGGGTTTGGGGTAGATGTTCCCTTAACTCAAGTTTGTGGCCTGTCATTTACCCTCGGCCTGGTCTAGCCTATCTGCTGAGACAGTCGTGTGGTGTGTGCTGGTGTGTAACTATTGCATATGCTACATTTTCTTGGAGCCACAGGTGAGAGCTGAGTACGAGGTAGAGGCCAAAAGTGGATGAGCAGCCCTGAAAAGGGTTTGGTAAGCCCTCATCACAAGTACCAGTCAGCCTTGATCACTCATACCCTCCAGAAAGATTGTAGATATAAGTCAAACCTGGCTCCAGTTCATTGAATAGATACTCTCTAAAGTGTAGGGGACAAGAGTTCAGTTGATATAGTCACGGAAGACCCAGGATGTAATCACAAGATATTAATGAAATGTTAAGTTGACTGTAGAGATGTAGTTATGTTCTAATCCCTTTACTGGGTACAAATATTCCTCCCATTGGGTCAATTAGGAAAAAAGACAATTTATTGAACAAGCAGAAGCATGCCTCTGGGATGTTAATGGTTGAGCCTGGATAAGTTGAGAGTTCCAGAGTTGAAATTATAGACCATAGCCCTGCACCTATTCCAGGGGTCAGCAAGGCAGGAGGAAAGGATCTTCTTTCCTCCTTCCCTTATTGTCCATGATATTGGTAGCCATTGAACCACAAGGAGTCACTGTTATCCACATACTCTGTCTAGATAGACAGGGATACGAGTATTTCGTTTTCTTTTTTTCAACGCTGTGAGCTGTGGGAGGGAAACAAAATGCATTTCTGTTCATAAAAAAAAAACCCAACAAAATTTAATTTAATAAGATACAAAGAGAATAACCTGAGGGGGGAAAAATGACTTCAAGGATTGTGACTCCTGGCAATAGAGAGTCAGGTTGTGGATAACTCTCCATCCCAATTAAAAACAGAAAATAAAACTCTCTTTCAACAAATAAGCATAGTCGAGCAAAACAAATCAGTACAATGTCCGCATCCAAAAACGCATGTGTCTTTCTGCTCTTTGATTCCAGGTGGCCATCCTGGCTGGAAGTTTCTGCGTCTGCTCTTCTCATTATTCTATTAGATATGTGAAAGAGAGTGTACCCCAAGTTTATGGGGGGATGTTTCTTAATTATTATTTTTGTTGTGCCATTTGAGTAAATGCCTTTGATGAGAGTTAATTGAGTCTACTGACTGATTACTAATGGCAGTATATGAGTAGGGGCTGATGAGCTATAGAGTTAGGAGTGAAGCCCTATAGAGTTTCCCCTGGCCACCCTTTGGGGACCAGCCTTCTGGTATTGGGGGAGCAGCCCAGAGGAATGTTTCAGAAGCATTTATAAAAGTTCATAGATAGGAATAGCACAAGAATAGACCTACACTATGGATGTCATTAAAAAATATCAATAATAACTCAAATTTCTAAAACACTTTCCTCAATACTACTCAGTGAGAGCAATAGTATTTCTATTATTATCTCCATTTTACAGGTGAGGAAACTGAGGCTTAGAGAGATGAAGTGAATTATGTCTTTAAATGTGAAGTCTTACTATAGTTATCTCTATTTATGTCCTATCTCCCTACTAGATTGTGAACTCCATGAGGTCAGGGACTGTATACCCATTATAAACTTTATATTTCCTTCAGGACTTAGCACGTCACTCCATCATTTCAGTCATGTCTGTTTCTTTGTGGCCTCATTTGGGGTTTTCTTGGCAAGGATTCTGGAACAGTTTGCCATTTCCTTTTCTAGCTGATTTTATAGATGAAAAAACTGAGGCAAACAGGGTTCAGTGACTTGCCCAGGATCGCACAGCTAGTAAGTGTCCAAGGCCAGATCTGAACCCATGACGATGAGTCTTCTTGACTCTAGGCCTGGCACTCTATCTACTGTGCCACCTAGATGCTCTCTGTACACTACCCGATTTAATTAAAAAGTTTTGGGTCCCACCTGTGTGCAAAGCACTGTGCTCAGCAGTGAGGTAGGTATAGAATTTGGGTGAGACCCAGCTAGCCCCTGCCCTTGTGGCGCTAACAGTTTAGTAAGGGGTACAAGTTATAATGAAAATCATAATGCAAAATTATTCATACTGTAAAATGATCTTTACGGTTTTTTTCCTTTCAGACAATAGAAATTGACCTCTTTCTGGCCTAGAAGGTTCATGGATTTTTGAAATGAATGGGAATTAAATACAACCCTTTTTTGACTGATAAAGAACTGAGCCTAGAAGGAGAAGTGCCGGAATTCCTACAAGAAACAGCAGAACTGGGATTCGGACCCAGGTCCTTTGAATTCTGATCTCTGATGCTTTCTCTTGTGCCACGTTGAATCTTCTTCTGAGGTAGCCTTTGAACATGTGGGAGATAATGCCGAAGCTTCCCAAAGATTAAGAAGCAGAACACTGGCTGAGAAAATGTCAGACACAAATATGCAGATTATGTTTGTAGAGGCAGCAATGCTTGAGTCATTAAAAAGTTGTAAAAAAGACTACAGCTGCATTTCTCTTGCTGTAACATTTTTGTTATTGTTGAACTTGGTTAAAAAAAAAAGTTGGTCCAGTAGGGGCTTAACAAACATTTGTAGAGTCAATGAACAAACACTTTTCCTCTCCGCCTCCCCACACCCTTGCCATCTGCTCATGGTACCTTAGCCCAGTTACCTTTTCGTTATTTCTCTGTATAAAGCGCCCTCTTGTGTCTGACTTCAGACACAACCATCCAAACCCGTCAATGCTATGTTGCTTCATTTGGAGCACCCTCTTGCTGGAACTCCCATGCTGCTGTTTGATTTTTAGCACCCTGTCTTATCTGCATAAAAATGAGATTTTTGTCATTCCGTGTTTGTCTCTCCCAAAGACAGGAAATGAATTTTAGGTGAGACATAGGAGTGGACTCCGCTCAAGTGTGTCACCTCTAGGACATGGGTTTGGTCAAACAATTAGAGTACATCTCAGTCCTTTAAAGAAATGTCTGTGTGCCATTTACTTGGACAGTATTCAGTTGGAGAAACTGCCAAGTTACTGGTAACCCTATGGTGTTCTGGAGCCAATTCAAACAGGCTAGTGAGAGCTGATTGTTAAATTTTCAGTCTGAGCAAAAGCTACAAATCAGAGTTTGATTTGCTGTTTTGTTGATCTATTGACTTGAGAAACGGATGAAAAAATGCTAAGAATGCAGATTAAACTTTACAAGTGTGTTATGCTTCATTTTTTTTCTCAGAGAGCCAGTTGTTAAACACAATTGGGCTAGTAAACCCAATATTCTCCTTCAGACACTTCATTCAGAGGAAGACTTGATACAGTGTGAACAGTGTGGTATTGGTGTCAGAGGACCTAGATTTGAATCCTGGCTCTGATACTTACTGCTACATAGATGGTTTGGGGTAAGTCATTTAACCTTCACATGATTCAGTTTCCTCATCCAGACCATGCTAAGGTCTCTTCTATTTGGAAAGATTATGGCCATTTGGATATTCCCTGTATGAATTTCTCTGCTCTGTTTTATTCTTTAAATGAAGCATCAACATAAGTTAATGAAAAGGAAGACTCATAGGTGCCCTATGAAACAGGATGTTATGTTTGCTATTGTACATGCTACCTTTGGTGAACTTCTATTCATCCTCACTCAAAAGTCACTTCCTCCAGGAAGCTTTTATATTCTTTGTGTGGCACTAGGGTCTCAGGGAGAGATTGTGAGAAGATGGCGTTATTCTGGGGTGCAGAGGATGCCGAATCCTGTGTGGCAAACATTCCACTGGGGCTCAGAGATGTACATAGGAGATAGAAAGATTCACCCCTACACTCTTCCAACCAACCCAGGAATCCACAGAGGGATCCCCAAAATCCTGCAGAGATCCTGTGATAGGCTGGGATAGAGGACGGAGGGTAGAAAGTACAAGCAACCCCTGGAGGCCTCAGGGCAAATGCAAAACTTCTTGTGCAAATCCTTCTTGCTGCCTGAGCTCAGCATGAGCCTTCCCTGAGTCAGTCGCTACACCCAACTCGAGGGAGAGTAGCCAAAAGCAGCTTCAACGTGTTCCGGGAAGGGCCCAGCTGGAAAGCAGTGGCAAGAGCCCCTGCAGGAGAAAAACCCTTAGCAGAATGCAGCCCAAGTCGTTCCTGAAGCCCATGGTGGGAGCTGAAGCCTCTGAGGATAGTAGCAAAGGATGGCAAGAATCCCAGGCGGAGCCTACAGCAATGTTCGGTCCTGAAGCTCTGTGACAAGAAGCCCATAGGCAGAGGCCAGCTTGTAGAAGCATCGAGGCTCTTAAAGGAAGGGCCTAGTCTGCGCCCTATGGAGGACCAGGCTGGCCCTGCCCACACCATTTAGTTACGGAGCTTGACTCAAGAACAGACCGCTCAATCTAGATACTGAGGTGGGTGAGACAATCAAACTGAAGGAAGCTCCGAACAGCGTGAAGAAATACCTTGGTTTGAGAGACGCCTAAGGGGTAAACCCTGAAGAAGAATGTGGCCTCCCAACAAGTCCAGGCAGGACCACAAAGGAAAACTGACACTCTAGAACAAACAGTAGCAAACCTCATCCAAGAAATGAATGGTTGGAAACAGGTGAGCGGGTCAGACAGAAAACAATGACTCAGTAATCAACCAAGAACAAAAAAGTAAAGAAGATTGAAATGTGAGAAAGATAATATGAAAGACAACTGACCTCCCCAAATAAGTCAAGAAGAGATAATCTAAGCATCATTGAACTATCAGAAGGAAAAGGTCTGAATACCCCTCTCAAGAAATTATAAATCATAACTTCCCAGAACTCTTGGAAACAGAGAGAGAAAAGTTAAAGCAGAAAGAATATGCTGGTCACTCCTGAGAAGAAATTCCAAAATGAAGAAACCAAGGAATATCACAGTCAAAGTCAAGAGCTTCCATGTCAAAACAAACAAACAAAAAACAAAAAAAAAATCCCAAACTACAAGCAGCCAAAACAGGACTACGGAGCCACCAAAAAAAAAAATCACACAAGACTCAGTAGCTGCCATTGTAAGGAGGAGAAGACCTTGGAAAACAATATTTCAAAATTCGGGTGATAAAAGGTTGAGAACCAACAGCAATCTATCCAGCAAAACTCAAGATAGTCCCATGGCGGGGAATGAGACTTGAATGTAATAGAAGATTTCCAAGCAATTCTGATGATGGGGATAGAACTGAGTAGATATTTCACAATGGACTTGCGGCAGCCAAGAGACACATAGAAAAGCGCACATGTCTGTTCAGCTGAAAGGGAATGTGTGAGGTTGAATTGTTTCTATGCTAAGAGGAGAATAAGAAGCAAATGTCTCTCAGAACCCTAATAGCTTTTTTTTATTAATTTATTTTGATTTATCAACAATCACTTCCATAAGCTTTTGAGTTTTAAATTTTTCTTGCCCTCCCTCCCCAAGATGGCACACAATCTGATATAGGCTATATATATACATTCTTATTAAACGTATTTTCACATTAGTGATGTAAGGAAGAATTAGAACCAATAGGAGGACCCATCAAAAAGAGGAAACAAAACACAACAGAAGAAAAACAATAGCAGATAGTGTGCTCCACAGTTCTTTCTTTGGATGTGGATAGCATTCCATCATGAGGCCTTTGGAGATGTCATAGATCCTTGTTATTGCTGAGAAGGGCTAAGTCTATCAATATTAGTCATTGCACAACGTGGCTGTTACTGTGTACAACGTTCTCCTGGTTCTGCTCACTTCACTCAGCATCAGACCATTCAAGTCTTTCCAGGTTTTTCTGAAGTCTGCCTGTTCATCATTTCTTAAAACGCAATAGTATTCTATTACATTCATATTATCACATTCACAGTTATGCTTACTATCTGTGTCTTTCTCTCCATCCTTTCCCCTCCACCCCGTTCATGCTTTTCTTTCTCCTTTCTCCTTTTCCCTCCTCACTAATGTTTTGCTTTTGACCACTGCCTCCCTCAGTCCCACCTCCTTTCTATTAGCCACCTCCCTTTTCTTCCCCTTTGCTCTTACTACTTCTTCCCTCCCTTCTATACCCCCTCCCTTTTCTTTCCCCTTTTCCCTCCTACTGCCTATAGGGCATGTTAGATTTCTATACCTAACTGATTATGTTATTCCCTTCTTGAGCCAAATCTGATGAGAGTGAGGTTCAAACAATGCTCATCTCCCCCTCTTCTTTCCCTCTGCTGTAACAGGTTTTTGTGCTTTTCCTGTAATGTAATTTACCCTTGTCTGCCTCCTCCTTTCCTTTTCTCTCAGTACATTTTCTTAGTTAGATCAGATTAATCCACTTACTTGGATCCATTTAACCCAGTTGATTAGATTTTTTTCATTATTACATCAAAGTCAATTTATACCCACCCCTTTTATGTATACCCCTTTAACATGGTGTAATAACAATACAGTTCTCAAGAGTTACAAGTGTCATCTTCCCTTGTAGAGATGTAAACGGTTCGCCCTTATCAATAACATGTTGTTTCTTTCTGTCCCATTTACCTTTTTCTTCCTCCCTTGAGTCTTGTATTTGAAGATCAAATTTTCTGTTGAGCTCTGGTTTTTTTTATCAGGAAGGAATGGAGGTCCCCTATTTCGTTGAATATCCATCTCGTCCCCTGAAAGATCATGCTCATTTTCGCTGGGTAGAATCTTAATATCTTTAAGGGTCGTAGTGAATGGTTAAAATGATAGAGGGGCTGTAGGTAGTTTTGTTTTACTTTAATGATCATATGAGAAGACAAAAATGAGAGTGACAGCACTATAACAGGGGAGAAAGGAGGGAGTCACACTGTATAATAGAAATCTGCACAAGATGAAAGAATATAGTCATAGAGGAAAGGGCGGAGGGAATGGGTACTCTGTGAACTTTACCCTCAACAGAATTTAAAAAAAGGAAGATTGAAAACAGTTACACCCACTCTTACACACCCATACATCCACATAGAGATTTTGGTATAGAAATGCATCAAACTCAAAAACAGATATTAAAAAAGAGAGAAATCCAAAACAGAGGGCAGATTAGATAAGGGGATAGTCACAAGCAAAACAAATTCAAATATTGGAGAAAAGAATGTGAAGAAAGGATTAAAAATAAAAGGAGTAAAAATCTGGGAACCAGGATGGGGTAAGGGCAAGAGAAGTGCTACAACAGAGAGAAAATAAGATGTTTCACTTATAAAGTCACAAGTGTCAAGCAAACTTTCTTCTATCACCTTCTTATTTGTAAAGAGAGGAAAAAATGCAAGAGGATGAGGACGGAGGGAAATACACAATTAACAATCAAAACTGTGAATGTGAACAGAAGGAACTCACCTAGAAAATAAAAGAGTACAGCAGAATGTATTAGAAAGTAAGATTTTGTTTCTGAAATTTGGTAGAATGTTGTTTATGAAACACTGGAAACACAAAGGTTAAGGTAGGTGAAAAATCAGGCCCTGGGGCAAAATCTATTATGTTTTAGCTTAACTCAAAAAAGCCCAGGGGTAACAATAATGGTTTCAGATAAGTCTG